TTTGTCCCGCTAAATTTCGCGCCTTGTCAAAACAAAGATGGCCGACTCGAGGTTCGTGTTTGTTGATGTCGAGAGTTTATCGAAGAAAACAAGAACGATAATACAAAATGAAAGACTTAAATTGTATATTATTTATATGAATGGTCTATTTATTTTCTAAAATCATATTTGTTCAGTAAATGATGAATTGTTTTGAATTCTAAAATGATCCTATTTTTTCAAAAATCAAAACTGTTTACTTTTGGGTGTCAAACCCTGATAAAGGTACAAGTATATAATAAATAGGTTATCGTACTCGGGATTCGGTGATATCAGTTTTATCGCTCTTGGGACGATATCACAATTGTCCCTCGCTCGCTGCGCTCGCTCGTGACAATTGTGATATCATCCCTCGAGCGATAAAACTGATATCACCTCATCCCTTATATGATAATCTATATATATATATATATATATATATATATATATATATATATATATATATATATATATATATATATATATATATATATATATATATATATATACTTATTGTTCGTTGTGACTTTGTAAATAATGTTGTTGGTCATACATTAATTAATTGTTTCGGCAGTGGACAAGTATTTTTGTTGTCGCAGTTACAGTTTAGTCCAGTCAAATCACTATAAGTACATGGTCCTGATCAAAGTAATCGCAATAGATTTTTTTTTCAGTGGTAAAATGTGTGAAAAGTTGTTCTGATTAACATATTAAAAATCCACAAAAATCCCTTCAGTGGAACATAGTGAAAATCAAGTTTTTCTTACTTGTACATATAGAAAACCATTGCGGACAAAATGTTGAAATTTTGAAATTATGTTTTTGCAAATATAACCTGCATCATTGGAAAGCTTAGAAAAAACTAAAGTATAGATCATTAAACGGTTACCTTGCTTTTGCCTATCCAGCCGAAGTTATACAAGATTTAAAATGCCATAAATTTGTATTTTGTGCAAATTTTGCGCTATTTTTCCAACTTTGAGCTAGAATAACGACAAACTGACCAGTAAATTGAATGTAACGGTTTAATTGACATTTATATAGTTTTGTTTACGCTTTCCAATAATGTAGGTTACAAAGAAAAACTTGATTTTCACCATGTTCCACCGAAGGGATTTTTGGGATTTTTAGTATGTTAATCTGGACACCTTCCCTCACATTCTACCACTGACAAAAATTCTATTGCAATTTCTTTGACCTCTGGTCACAGATTGACTGGACTAGTTGTCAGTTTCCGTATTCTGTGATTGGCTGTTCCTAATTATATGTGCGTTGTGTTCGGTGATTATAGACTTAACGTTGTTCATGCAACTATAGCTTACTTTTAAAGTGTTTCTGTTGAAAATCTTGTGTAGTTTGTGCTGTAGTGGAAAGTGTTTGTCAATTAAACTGAAGAATTCCCGTCCTATGTTCGTGTTAACACTCTTACTAAATGCATGGTGGGTTGAACCAAATTATATTGCGTTGCCTATTCCGGCTACGTGTCCGTTGCGGTGCATCCTGAGTGTACGTAAATTCGTGATCAAAGTTACTATGTCTAAGTGCGTTCTGGTAAATAGCATAATGCTTGGTGGATGGTTCGAATGTCTGTTGATGTACAATGGATCGTCATTGAGTTTCCTGTATGGTTTGTGTTTTGCGTTGTTTAGGTCGAAAGTACCATCTAAAAAATTTACAACGTTCAAATTTACTTCGGCGGTGATTTTCAGGTCAAATTGCTCGAAAATTTTGTGTAACTCTTTTCTAGTTTTGTATAGAAAACGGGCGGATTTTCTTTTTATAATAGCCAAATCGTCATCTCTATAAAGGCCGATGTTTTCCTTGCCAAACCTCTTACCTAAGTGATTTAAAATGAAAAGGCCTACCAGCTCACAAATTTCAGTGCCGTCGAAACTACCCATAGTAACGTCAAATAAACTGTTGCTTACTTGCTTTGGTCTTTTTTTGTCCATAATTTTCCATGTATTGCCGAAAAGTATAGAGATTTTCTTTCATGTTTTATTATTGAAATATCGTTTTCGATGATATTAGCCAAATCAGAAGCCCAGGCCAATGCTTCATTTAAACGTTTTTCGAAAATGGACGAGTAAAACTGATCCACAATGTCAAACGGAATAAAACTGTGCTTGTCTTTATATCGTTTATATTGCCAAACCATGAAATTATACTTGTTGCGTATGGTTTATAATGTTTATGGTTCATGGTTTATAAGTGAGATGCGCTTGTTTATAGATGTACGTAGTTGTTTTATGATGCTTGGCGGGTAGTTTGAGTGTCTTTTTATGTATAATGGATTGTCATTGGGTTTCCTATAAGGTTTGAATATTCGATAGGTAAAGTCGAACGTGATCTCTAAAAAGTTTACTACACGTAAATTTGCCTCTGCTGTGATTCTTAAGTTTAATTGCTCGAACGTTTTGTGGAGTTCCTTTCTCGCTTACCTGCCAAACGTGCTGAATTATTTTTTATGATAAATCTTAATCATAAACATATTTCTGAAGTCTAATAGCAAATTATCTATTTTATTCAAGCTTCATGTACAGATCCCAAAACATTAGGAATGGCAAATGGTAAAATACCTGATGATGCAATCACGGCGTCGTCTACTTATTCAAACAGTTACACACCTAGCTATGCAAGACTGACAAGGGAAGATTCTAGCTGCTCTTGGGCACCTACTGCAGCAGGGCGTATCGGCTCATGGCTTCAGGTTGATCTGGGACAACTTGCCACAGTAACAAAAATAGCAACCCAGGGAACATGCTATAGCCCCAGTGAATGGACAAAGTCGTACTCGGTTTCATACAGCACTGAACCCAATTCATGGACACCTTACGAAGAATCAGGGAATGTAAAGGTAATTCAGCGCATCAATCTTGTATTGGGGATTTTACAAAACACGGATTCAGAAATTAATATAAAGGCCCGTTTACACATGTAATTTTTGCTGCGATTTCTAATGCAATTTTCCTGTTCGGATGGAGGTGAACGAGTAGATGAGTTACTAATGTTCTGAGTATGTGTACCCTCATTTGGACATTCATAACTCATACACTCGTTCACAAGTATTAGAAGAGGAGAATCGTACTAGAAATCGCAGCAAAAATTGCAAGTGTATAAACGTGCCTTAAGCGTACAAAAAATTGTCAGCTTAGGCCTGTTCTAGGAAGCTCATGGGAGTGGAATGAATTATTGAAACCTATCATCTGACTTTTTAATTTAGGTTTTTCAAGCAAACACCGATCGAGGTTCCATCGTTACCCACTCATTCACACCTCGTATTCGTGCTCGGTACCTGCGTGTGTTGCCAGAATCTTGGAGCAATTATCCTACAATGCGACTCGAGTTTTACGGTTGTCGCCACCGGTAGAACTTGCTTTGTGCGTGTGTACGTGCGTGCGTGCATGCATGCATTAGTGAGTTTAAGCAAGTGACGTTTTTGACAACACGGACGTCGACCGGAAGTAAAGTTGACGTTTTTCACCAATCACAGCCCTTGACCCAGTCTTCTGACGTTGCTCATGCCGTCTGTGTTGTCAAAAACGTCACTTGCTTAAGCTCACTATTGTTATGCTACAGATCCGTGCACTAGTAATAATTGCTATATGTGTAATGCATGCTTATTTTTTCTTTGTAATATATTTTGTTAGTTGTGCGTCATGATAATAAATTGCAACTTGGCCAACTGCGTCATTTTATTTTACATGTTTGCCATTGCAATAGATCTATATAGAGTACTATGGTTACAAATGACTGGAATTTCCACACAGAGATAGTTCTCCAATAACGGGGTTCCAAAAAAGAACAACTAATGGTATATCTAATTATTTTGAAGTTAAAGCAAACATAACAATTAAACACAAATACAAGAAGACAAAGCAAACGTATTGACGAACAAACGAACAAAAACTAAATTTAGCAACATGTTCGAGTTGATAAGTTCATTAGTGGGCGAGTGGTGTGACATTTAATACACACAGACTTAAATATTCTTGGATCTTCAGGGTCATAAATTTGTTGGGTTAATTCTACGTAGTATTTCATTAGATTACATTTAAATGTAGTTAGAGATGTGGTGGTATTTCTTATGAAGCCGGGAAGCGTGTTCCATACATTAGCAGCTCTGATGTAAAAGCTGTTTTGAAAAGAAACAGTTTTACTTTTGGTTACATGAAGTAGGATGCCGTTAGTTGAACTAATATTTCTTGTTTCTCGTGTAGGGATCTTTATAGATATGTTAATGTCAGAGTTATTTATAAGGCATTTGTGAAGATACGCCATATCTAAATACTCATGCCAGTAACACAGAGGGAGGATTTCGATGGTAGCCAATCGTTTCTTATACGGGATAGATGTTTTGTACGGGAGCGAAAGAATAAATTTTGATGCACGTCGCTGCAACCGTTCGATCGTTAGGATGTTGTTGACAGTTTGGGGTGCCCACACTTGACTACTGTAAGCTAGCTGGCTTCGAACGATGGTCAAGTACAGTATTTTTCGAACTCTTTTATCGTGAATGCCGGACGCTGTTCTCTTGACAAAACCCAGCATTTGTTAGCTTTTGAGGATAAGTCCTGCACGTGCTGGTTCCACTTCATATCTTTGGTGATACTTACGCCAAGATCTTTTACACAGGTTAAAGGTTTGACTGGGATGTCAGCTAATGTGTACTGGTTGATAGTAGGTTGGAGACAACGAGTAAATTGAAGAACTCCGCACTTGGATTTATTTAAATCCATCCTCCAGTCTTGACACCAGTTCGTAATATTGTTACGGCGGTTATTGTGCTATTGACGGAGCTATACTAGCCGCGCAGTTTTTTAATAATACTGCTGGGATTTTGTCAGGACCAGTTGCTTTCTCTTCGTCAAGATTTCGAAGTACATAACGAACTTCTCCTTCGGTTAGAGTAAGATCTGATATGGTGGTTAGATCGGTCATGTCATCTTCAAAATTAACAGAGGAGAGTTGGCTGTGGGTATGGTCGGGAGTTTGAAACACCGAGTGGAAGTAGCGATTTAGCATATCAGCAATATCAACTGGGTTGTCAGCAGTCGAAGATGTTGAATCTTGAATGGACCATGACATTTTAGCAGGGATGTTGGAGTGATTTGAGGTGGATTTAAATAGTGACCAGAACTTTTTGCTACTGGACTTTAACAGAGATGGAAGTTTTTGAAAATACTCCGTACGTTTAGCTTGTATTAACGTTTTGGCTGATCTTCGAAGTTCGCGGAACTTTTCCCAAAGTCTAGGAGATGCGTCGCGTTTAGCCCGTTTTCTGCACTTATCTTTCTTCGAGAGAATACGTTTAACTTCACCGTCAATCCAGGGAGGTGAGTTGCTCCTTTTGAACGATTTTAATGGAATATATTCAGTAGCAACTCTGAGAAAGAGACCTTTCCATCGCTTCCAATCGGTGTTGACGTCAGTTGACTGGTTAGAAGGAAAAGTAGTGTGATTGACTAGTGCATTTCGTAGACCGTCCCAATCAGCAAGTTTGAAATTGAATACAGTTCTCTTGTCATGCCCTGGCATTTTTAAATGAAGCATAAAATCGAAGAACATCAGACGATGGTCACTTGAAAGGTTCAAAGATTTTGCTGAAACGCATGATAAACTACCAATGTTTTCTGAAGTGTTTGTTAGGATAAGGTCTAAGATATTGTTTAGTCTAGTGGGATACATATTCACTTGGTGCAAAAAAAAGTCGAATGTAAGTTCTCTAAACTCTGATGAACCAACCGAAGGGGTCCTTTCTGATATATTCGGTAGAAGTGAGGAATTCCAAGTTAAGTCTGGAAAATTAAAGTCACCAGTGATAAGAACTTTATCGTAGTGGGAAGTATCATTCAATGAATGAATTTAATGAATGAATTTAATTTGATTTGACACCAACATTACAAAAAAAAATAAAATAAAAAGATTGTAAATTACATGCATATACTGTATATATAAATATTATAGAACTGTTATATAATAGTTAGATATTTAAATAAGATAGATAAGTTATATAAATAAGTATAGTTCGATAAATAAATTTTGTTCAGTCATCATGTTGGTGACAAGGAAGCCTAAGACGAAACCACAAGGCTTATAGGAGTTTAGGCTCCCTTTTAAATGAGCACAACATATATAAACACAAAGGGGAATCAGACGTTTAGAGCATATGAAATTATTTTACCAGTTTCATAATATAAATGATGGCTATATTAGATATTTTAACATTCTATTCCTGAAGCAACTTAAAGTCTCTGAATTTTTAATGTTTTCCGGAAGGGAATTCCATTTTTGGGGTCCTTGGAACAAAATAGTAAACTTCTTTATGTTTGTACGACATGTATGAGGTCGATATGCATTTGCATTTCTAGTGTTGTAAGAGTGCATGTGACGACTAGTAATGAAAATATTATGAAATGAAGATGGAAGTAATTATAATGATAGCAATACATGAATTTAACAATGTATAAGAAATTAATTTTATAAATATCAAGCAGATTCAGCCGATAAAACAGTGGTGCAGTATGTGCTGTAAAGTCAGCGTTTGTCAAAGCTCTAACAAGTCGTTTTTGGATTAAAAATAATCTTTTTACATTTGTGACATAGGTAGAAGACCAAATGACGTTGCAGTAGGTCAGATATGGGTAGATCAAGGTATAATATAGGGATAATTTAGTTTTCATAGACAATAGAAAACGTGATCTATAGATTATGCCGGTGGATTTTGAGACTTTTTTGCAGATGTGATCAATATGAAATTTCCATGAAAGATTTTCATCTATAAAAACTCCAAGGAACTTGACCACTCGTTTTTGCGTAAGCTTATTTTCATTAAACATGAGCGGTATCATAATAGTTTTTAATTTCTTTTGTTTTGGTTTAAAAATAACGTAGTTTGTTTTCTTGGTATTAACTGACAATTTATTCGCCTTCATCCACAAGCTAATACTACTCAATTCTTGATTTAAGACAGTAGCTAACACAAGTGGATCAGAATGTGAGTAGTAAATACTTGTATCATCTGCAAATAATAATGGTTCCGCTAATCGCAAGGCATTCGGAAGGTCATTAATATATAGAATGAAAAACAGTGGTCCTAATATGGAACCTTGAGGAACGCCACATTGAATAATCTGTTTGGAAGAGGAAACATCATGCTGTACAAATTGTTCACGATTTTCAAAATAGCTTTTAATCCACTGTAACGCCACACCACGAATGCCATAACGTTCAAGCTTAGAAAACAATATTTGGTGATTTAATGTGTCAAATGCTTTAGACAGATCTACAAAAACACCGGCTGTAATTTTATTTTGATCAATAGCAGTTGCAATCTTGTTAGTCAAATGAATTAAAGCAAAATTAGTTGAATTATTTTTACGAAAACCAAATTGATAACAATACAATATTTCGAACTTTTCAATAAATTCAATTAGTCGATTGTACATTACCCTTTCAAAGATCTTCGAAAAGTTTGATAGAATTGAAATAGGTCTGTAATTATTAAAAAGTTCTGGGTCATCGGCTTTATAAATAGGGATAACTTTAGCCGTTTTTAATTTGTCGGGGAAAATACCATTCTCAAGAGAGAGGTTAATTATACGCATTAATGGTTCAGAAATAAATTGAAAAGAGCCTTTAATAAGCTGCATTGGGATGCCATCAGCACCAGGTGCCTTCCCAACTTTGAGAGACATGCAGATTTTATACAGTTCAAGAAAAGTGATTGGTCTCAAAAATATTGTTTCTTTGACATGAGGTCCAAGAAAATTTTGAAAAGAAACATTTACTGTCGGGATTTTACTTGCAAGATTTGGTCCAACATTTGTAAAGTATTTGCAAAATCCATTCGCAATTTCTAAAGGGTCAGAATTATTTTGCCGCCAGATTTGAAAGAAGATGGCGGGGAATGTATTTTCTTATCTTTATTAATAACTTCATTAATTAGCCTCCAGGTTTCCTTTAAATTATCTTTCGCTTGTTCGAATTTATTGTCATAGTAAGAACGCTTGGCAATTCTAATTAAATGGTTTAATTTGTTTTTATAAGTTTTGTATTGTGATTCACGAGCGG